GAAAATGCTAACACACATGTTTGCATGACAGACTAACGTAAAAAAAACAATTCCAATCATTATTTGCATTCATCACTCAGACATAGACGTTGAAAGGTAAATTAAAAAGTTATTATTATTATTATTTTGCTTTTCTTTATCTTATTTTATTCTATTTATCAACTAAATAGAAAAAACTAATCTGTAACTTATATATAAAATGATAGTAACAGCTGTTGTTAATGATCTGTAACAATTCTGGTTGCTTTTTTTTTCATTTTTTTTTACTTCGCAACATTTTTACCTATCTTTATGTTCAAGGTAAATCATTGATAGAAGAATTTATTAGTCTCTATATCAAGTAATCCTTTTTTTTGATTCAATGACAATCATAATCAAGGTTATTGAGATTTTTTCTTTCGATTTTGTTTAACAATTTAAAATTCAAATTATTTGATTTTGACTAAACGAGAGAAAAAAAAGAACATCTAATTTCTTCTTCATTTCCCAAGATCATATTTCATTCAAATCTTCTTCTTTCATTTAAATATATATATGTATACGTCAGGTATTTCTTTACGAAATTTAAATTCTTATAAAAAAAACCGATATTTTTTTTGATTGTGTTTTCAGTATCATTATCTTGTTTGATTACCTCTTGAATAATAGTGCCTAAAAATAGAAAAAGAAACGTGTTTATATGCTTGTTCAATATTCTTTAGAAGAAAAATAATGGTACAACAATTTACACTTGTATACACATGTATATGCTTGCGTCATGTACGTACTCTTCACCTTCTTATTCTATCGTCTATTGTTAAGATTATTTTAGTCATGTTATTATTCGCACTTGAACAACTTGTATGTATATTCGGATCGAAAGATTACGCAAAGATCGCCTACTATTGCTTATTTAGTAGAGAGTACAAATTCAGATCAAATAGAAAAACGAAAAGAGAAAGCTTAACGCTTGATTGCAAATACATAATTTCTATCACAATGAATATTTGGGGATATATGAAATATGAATAGAAAAAAATTCATGTAGAAATCATGCAATCGAATAAGGAATTAGAAAAAAAATCTTCCAGATAGATAAGAAAATTTTCTACATAATTGAATTTTCTTTCGATGAAATACATAGTCTGGAATAGTTAGAATCTTTCAAGGTTCTTTTCATCAAAATATAGAATTTATTCTTACTAATATGTATCTATTCAGCTTAAGGTAATATCAATATCAATTCATTAAGCGCATTCGCTTTCCTTTCAAGGTTTAAGAATAAATCAATGATTTCTTTTTGAATACATATATTACGATTACTTCAATTGATAATAAAAATTAGTTTATCATTGAGATATATAAATCAATAATTTTATTTACAAAATCGAGAGAATTCGTTTGTAGATTTGAAATCAAATAGATTACATGATCTTTTTTCTTTCTTCTTCTGAAATAATCTCTTCAAATTGAAATACGACAATTATCTAAATTAAAATTTAGAATATATATTGGATTGCATGATTGCATGTTTTGTATTTAATTAATACTTGTGTTATAACTCATTTATGTAATTTTGACTTTATTATATAAGATTATTGAAGAAATAAATTGTTTTTAATTATATAAAGAAATTAATAAACTAATATTTTTATTACAGATATTATTATACAAAACAAATAATATTTATTCAATGAAATTTCTTATTAATGTCAGTTAGTGTAGCTCAAAGATCTAGTTTACCTGATCCTATTCATTCTTCATTATTAAATATAATTCATGATGATAATGATGCTCAACAATTTCAACAGATTATACGTGATCGAAGAGGTATTGTTGAATTTTTTTTCTATTTATTCTATGTTTCCTTTCAGTTGATATCTTAATTAAATCAATAATACTTCTTTTATGCCTACTGTTCTCGTTTATAATTGACGTAATAATTACTCTCTTGTGACCTTCGATTAAAGAAGGCCAGTTGTTTTGCCATTCCATCTTTTTACAGTATTCTTGTTCATTGCTTGATTTCCTCTATATTGTATGTCCTTGTTATGTTTTTCTCTAACTGTCATACGTGAGATGATGTTGTACTAATATCTATAGAGTCTACAAAGCATAGAAAAGAAACTATTCTTTTAACGTAGATAGTTCACAGAGAAGCACAAGAAGAAGAACCGAAAGAATAAAGCGATGGTAATAGAGGGTTAGATGTTATTGGAATATATGTCGAGACAGACTGAAGCATAAATATTGCATGGAAAAAGAAGAAGTATACAAGCGTGTTCCTAACTTATGCTGAAACATACATGTAGAAAGAAAACAGAAGAAGAAAACGAGAGAGAGGGAGAGAGAGAGAGAGACAGGAAAAAGAAGAAGCAACATCTTGTTTGCGGTAATACAGATAGGCAACAGTTAGAGTTGTACCGTCATCCAATCTTCGTCACTACTGTTCTTGTTATTATCATCGTCGTCATCATCATCAGACTCTTTTTTTCTATGGTTGAGAATAAAAGAGTGTGGGCGGGTAGTCAACATATTCTTGATTAGAACTCATCGATCACTTGACCTTCATTTCCGATCTTTGATATCAAACAAGAAAATAATATATAGTCATACAATGTCAACAACAACAACAGCAACAACTAATAATATAAATGAACTATTTAATCCTATTGATGACGATCCAATATGTAAGTTTCATACAAATATTGTTAATTGTTTCCCATCTAACATAATATGATGATGATGATAATAAAGCAAAACAAGTCTTAGTTTTTCTAGTAAACTGATTAAATATTTTTCTATATCGAACTTATTTTATTTGGTTCGATAAATATGTATTAGTTAGCTATTAGCGACATTTACAAATTTTAAGTACCTATTTAAATACAATGTAATTAAGTATGAATAAATAAATCATAGAGGAGGGAAAAAAAACGCTTTTTCATATTAATAAATATCTCTCTTCGTTATTTTTCTTGTCTTTTTCAATGAATATCATAAAAAATGAATCAATATTGATGCGTTTTGATATGCGAGTATAGTAAGCAAGTTAGTTTTTTTCCTCTCCCTCTCTCTCTCCTACTGTGATGATCGTTATGGGAGAGAAAAAAAAAGCGGAAGAGTGACAAGTCAACCGTCTTATCTATTACTTTTTTTCTTCTGCTTCTTTCTTTTTTTATATGTATCAGATTCAAAAATAAATTAACACCCATATCCTTTTTACCAAACCATGACGATGATAGCGATACGATTGATCGATTTACTAATGTCCATTAACGATATATATTGCAGTAATCATCGTAAAGAGTGTGTGTGTGAGAGAGAGAGAGAAATAAGAAGAAGAAGAAGAAAAAAACGTCATTATAATATTTTGATCTGGCCATTTGCCAAAGAAACATTTCGTTTTTTTTCTTCATATTTCAAAATCACTTTTGCATTTTTCGTTCGACGTACACATATACATACAGTTTTGTCTATTCATAGTCGTTATCAGTGTTCGACGAGAGTTGAGGTTAGTAATCTTGATGTAATGTCTATGGATGTATTCATACATTTATATATTTCTATATAGACAATCTTTACGTAAAAACTTTATTCGCTCATCCGAGCTATTAAGCGCACACATCAAATCATGGTCGCATCATCTACGTATATGTGAACATAAGAAGTGTTGAGCTATGTCAAATTAAACGAGACTACTCATTCATTTTTCTTTTCCTCTCCTATTATATTGAACATTATACATACATATATTCGTTTGATCAAGTAACGTTTGTTCAATAATAACAGATTTCTTCTCGTCAAAACAAAAAAAAAAGGCGCTTGGTGTATATTCTCAAGTATCAAATCTTTCCTTTTTCCTTATTAAAAAATAATACTATATAAATTATGGTGACCACTCGGCGTTCTTTTGTAGACGAACGCGAAGATATCCAGAAGAAAGCATTTACCAAATGGATCAATAATCAATTAGCAAATGTAAGTAAAATTAAAAATAAAATTTTAAAGCTTCTTCTTTCTTCTCTCTCTCTCTTTAGTCAAATTCAACTCCAATTGTAACAGATTTATTTCAAGATTTACGTGATGGTCTTATTCTACTTCGATTACTTGAAATTCTTACACAAAATGAATATGTATATAGACTTAAAATAAATCTAAAGAGTAGACTTCATAATTGTATATAATTTAGAAAAGAGAAATTGGTAAAATGCGTGTACATCATATTGGTAATGTTAATAAAGTTATAGCTGTACTTGGAGAATACGGAGTAAGTCAATATTATTGACATTGAATTTTTTTGAAAATGTTAATTTTAATATATATATATTTTTTAAATGTGTTTATTATAGATCAAACTACTTAGTATTTCATCAAATGATATTGTTGATGGAAATCCTAAACTTACACTTGCACTTATATGGTCAATTATACAATATTGGCAAGGTAAAGATGTATTAAAATCAGTTGTATCGAATCCTCAACAAACAAATGTTGAAAAATTTCTTCTTGGTTGGTGTCAACAACAAACAAAAGGGTTTGAAAAAAAAGAAATTAATAAATAAAAAATCAATATTAATTTATATATATTTTGTTTTTTTTTGAAGATATAAAGGTGTTGTAATTAAAGATTTTACAAGTAGTTGGCAAGATGGTCTTGCTTTTAATGCACTTATACATAAATTTCGTCCGGATTTATTTGATTATGAAGATATTTTGCAAAATGCTGCTGCAAGAAATCTTGAACATGCGTTTAATATTGCAAAAACTATCTTTAAAATTGATCGATATCTCGATGTCGAAGGTTCGTATTAATATAACTACATCTATAAATCACATAGATGAGATTGAATGATAATATTTATATATATGCATTTGAATATGAAATATATAACGAAAAGATATGTTCATAATACGAGTAAAGAGCTTCTAAATGTACGAATTTGGAATGAAGACGATATTGCCTTTGATACGATCATAATGTTCGATAACATCGTGATTAAATCTTTGATATGAATACTTGCTATCAGGAAAAAAATGAACAGTAATAAAATATTTAGATAACATAGGTCTTTAATGAGAATTATTCTGTTACTAAAACTTAATGAAATTACATTTAAAAAATACATATAAGAAGAATATATTGATACATATAAACAAGCATATAGTTGTACTTATTATATTATGAATAGTATTCTTGATTCTCTTTCTTTCATTAGTGTCGTCTAGACATTGTCAAAATGACATACTTTTTAGAATATGTTAGAAGAAATTGTCATTTGCCGTTTGCTTTTTTTTTTCTTCGTCATCGGATAACAAAGGAAAGCTTAGAAGAAAACTTCTTGTATTGAATGATTGAGTGCTATCGTAACCTTCGATACGATGAATGACAATATGATAAGTGCAATAAGACAAAGATTTCTGACAAAAAAAAAGTTTTTACATCGTATAGAAACATATGTGTCGTAGTAGCTCAATCATAGAAGAGAAGAAGAAAAAAAAATGAAAATTTTTATTTCAAATCTCTAAATAATGTTTTTTTTTATGCAAAAAAAAATTCAATTCGATCTAGTTGTTTACTTAATTTTTGTATTTTATACAAATTAAAATATTTCTATCCAATAGATGTTCTCTCTGAATATCCGGACAAAAAGTCAATATTAATGTATGTTATGTGTCTCTTTCAACAACTCCCAATGAATATTACTGTTATTGAGGACAAAGAAAAAAATGGAATATCGACGACAAAGATACCAATGAATACGAGAAATATTTCAAAAGAAACAAAGGTTTGAATACATAACTGAAATTCTATATTGTCAATATAAAATTTCTTTAGTCACCATCTCCATCTAAAACATCACCAAAATATACATCAGTAACAAATTCAACAATGACAACAGAATCACGTACACCATTACAATCATCACAATTAACAACATATCAAACAAATATGGAACGACTTGTTCAATGGATTCTTAAATTAGAAGAACAACTTGATAAAGAAGAAAAAATTTCAACAGTTGATCTTAAATATGTTAAAGAACAATTTCAAAAACATGAAGTAAGAGAATCAAAAATAAGATTTTATTTTAATCCTTGTCATATTCATTATGTAAATCTAGGATTTTATGATAAGTTTAACAAAAGATCAAAATCAAATAGGTCAAGTACTTGAAGAAGGTAATCGTTTATTATCTTCACCAGATATTAATCTACAATCTCGAGAAGAAAATGAAATCAAAGAACAAATGAAAATTCTCAATCGTCGATGGGAATCATTACGTTCAAAAGCACTTGATCGTCAATCATTGTAAGATAATATATTTTTCTTTCTATCATACCCACAGATCTATCCGAAATAATTGTTCTCTAAAAGTCTTCTATTCTAATGAGAATACTTTGTTATAACATTACTTATTATCATAACCTCGTTTATATAAACAGATGTGTATTGTTTTTCTGACCTCTTTATATTTAGCCTATCACTTGTCTCTAAAACACTATAAGTTAGTGTTTTTCTATATATAATATGATTGGTTGTATATATAAAGAAGAAAATGATATAATCATGCAAAAGAAGAAGACGAAAAAAATACAGAAATTAAGTAAATTAATCAATTAGATTGTAGACAAACTAATGTTTATATCAGTCTCCAAACTAAAAGATAAAAAATATAATGAAGATAAATATTCTCAAGTTCGTTCTTACAATCTAGAAAAATTATATATTAGTTCTCTAGAGTAAACATTTCTAAATAATAAATAGATACTCTTGACAATAAAGGGATTTTAATGTACATTGATCATGATAATGAATTGTTTCTCCGAATCTAAATATAGAATTTCTGATGTTTCAAATGTTGTAGTCACTGCGATTTAATTTTTGTAATTTGATACAAAATCCAAGTCTATTGCTAATAGAAAAAGAGAATTTTTTTATAATAATTAACTATTTGAGAATTTTATATCTTAACTCTTTACTTAATTATTTATCTGTTATATCTAGACAAGCTCTTAGACACTTGAAACAATTCCCTAATTCTAGACTTCATAAAATGCTGATGAAACTTCAAATTGATCAAATTGAATCATTTGATACATGGCTTACACAAGCTGAACAAAGTATAAATAAACAATTAGAAAAAATGGAAGAAGATTTAGTTAGTGTTGATCGACAATATCGTCATTTAGCTCAATTACAAGATGAACTTGTTGCTCAACAACAAATAACTGAATCTTTACAAAATATGGTTATTGTTATTGATGATACAACAATAAATGGTGTTGATACACCAGCATCGAAATATACATCAGCAGAAATTGAAGGTAAATTATTAAATTTAAGTGAACGATGGGCAAGTATATGTACATTTGTACAAAATCGTTGGATACAATTACAAGAAGTTAAAATTGAACTTGAACAAGTTGAATTAAATCAAGAAAAAGTTAATCGATGGATAACACGTAAAGAAGATGAAGTAACAAAAATGATTGCAGAAACAAATATTAGTGATACTGATATACTCATGCAACAAGTTCATTCAATTAAGGTATAGCAAAATTTTTACTAATAAATAAAGATTAATCTATCAGAAGAGCAAAAATTTCACAGATTTTAGTCTAATAGTTAGATATTATAATCCTATATATAATAGACTATTGTGTCAACACTAGAATAAAACAGAAGTGGGTGTAAGATAAATACTTTGATGATAGAAATAATTAGTAATATACTATTTTTATTAATTAAAAAAATCGTATTTGAAATATAACATAATTATCTACGAACTATTTATATTTACAAAATACATACTTTTTAAAATAGGATGAATCTGTCTGAATTCATATTATTTAAAGAAAAAGAATATCTCGTCTTTCGGCTTAGAATACTAGAGGATGTTTATTTTATTTTTTCTAAAATTTGATATAACTGAAGATTGAAAGCTATTTGAACTGTTTACGTACATTGATTAATCGTATACTAGCCTGAAGGATCGATTTATGTCACACATGGTTCATATACAATTGAATACATATAGCTGTTAGTAATATGTCTATGATTATTTCATGACTTATAACATTGAAATTATCATTACTTAGAAGTAATTTTTGTTTATTTAGAAAACTGAATTAGAAATGGATGATATTCGTCAATCAATTCTTGCATTAGATAATAGTTTAAAAGTATTAAGTACACATTATGATAGTAAAACATCCAAACAATTACAAACCTTAAATGAAACAATAAATACATTTGAAAAACGTTGGAGACAATTACTTGATAATCTGGAACAATGTTCTGCACGTGTAAATATTCATTTATTAAATTATTTCTTGAATATAGAAAAATAAATGAAATTATTTTTTATTTTTAGTTAAAAAAATCTCCTTTAAATTTTGAAACAAGTGTAAAAACAAATATTAGACCTAATAGTGATACTGTTGAAAAAACAATTACAACTATTGTAGAAGAAACAACAATAAAAAAACGAAAAATTGATATTGAAAATTCTCTTAAACATGAATTTGATTTATCTGCTAGAAAATTTCTTGATTGGATTGATAGTATTGAAAGAATATTAGCTGCTAAAGAAACAAATAATTTAAAAGCAAATGAAAGAAAAGAGATCGTCAGGGAAGTTAAAAACAAATATATATCATATGATGATCAATTTAAAGCATTACTTCAAACAGGCAATACAATAACAAAAGAATTTAAAGATGGTAAAGAATTCTTTTCTATTGAATAAAAATAAAAAAAATCTTTTTATTTATTTTTAAAGCAAAAGAAGATTCAACTGAACATGAAGCATCTTTAAGAACACTTGAAATCCGTTGGCAATCACTTTATAATCAAATAATTCAATGTGAACGAGATGCTGAACAATTTATAAATCAAACAGAATTTGATGAAGAATTCCAAACACTTATGAGAGAAAGAAATGAATATCAAACATGGATTGATGTTAATCAATCAACAAGTTCAACAGCAGAAATGCAGGTAAAAATAATGAAGATATAGGAAACAAATATTAATTAGATGTTATTTAATATTCCATTATGTATATGTCAATAAGGCGAACGATAATTGACAGGTGTTACCCTTTATATATATATATTTTTCTTGTAGTTAGGAAATGAACGTTTACTTATGTAAAGATAGTTCCTCTAATGGTTATTTCTTCCAAGAATATGTGTAGTATAACATACATATTTAGATAAACGATATGGAATGAATGATTGAATGATTATATTCTCATGTAATTACGAATAAGCTTATGATAATATCATATATATACAAAAGCTTTTGAGATAAGGAAAAAGCCGAAAAAGATATAATAAATCAATATTTTGTTCAATCTTTCTATCATTTATCGGTAGTTATAAATACATAATTAATAAAAATTCATCTTTGTCTCTTGAGCAATGAACAATTTTGTATACTTTCATATCCTTTGTTTTTGTTATTACGCACAATTTACCATTTACACAATAACATTTTTTTTGTCTATTCATACCATAACTAATACATTTTATAAATGTTTATCATTGCTAGATACTTATTTATGGTTCTATTTGTTTAAATATCTGTATGATTGATAGATAGATAGTTAGATAAAGTATTGATACTATTTTCTTTAAATTCATTTAAAATTTGAATTGGGATAATTCTTTTCTTTTTCTTTTTGTAGGTTAGATTAAAACGTTTTGAATCGTTCAATGACCGTCTTACTAAATTACAACACATGGCTGACCGTATCGATACAAATAGTGTTCAACGAACAAAGCAATTGCTACGTTTATGGGACCAGACAAGTTCACGACTACGTAAGTAAATATATAATTATGTCGGTTTTCTTTTCTTCTTTTCAACTGTGTGATATTTGATTTTATTACTATCAATTACTGATTTTCTCCTTGTTTCTTACTCTTGTGCATCACGCTTTTTTGCTATCACTGCTTTACTTGCAAACTCTGTCGTTGATTAGTGAGCGGCATTCTAATTATGCGTGCATGCATGCGGGTCACCTATAATATAGTTGACCGAATCACACAAAAGAAAAGAATGGTGAAATTATCTATTCTGACCGCCAGTCCATCGTTCTCAAATTAATACGTTGTCTTCCTTTTTTTCTTTGTTTTGTTCTTCTTTTCTTTGCCATTATCGGATAAAAGCATCCAAGCACACACCCCGACTTATTTTGGGTTGAACGTGTGATACTGATCAAGCTATATGAATACTATACATGTGTATGTATAAATACGTATATATATATATATATATATATACATCATCAATGTCATGGTTGGAATTATGGTCGTTATATATATGATCATATAGTATAGCACGCGACGACAGCAAAGGAAAAAAAAGAACAAGTACAATATGACGGGCGAGCAATGAGTTTGTCGTTAGTAAATTTGGTCTTGTTCCCGCTTTGTCTATATATGTGCAAATGATGCTGCTTGAATTTTATCCTATTATAGCAAGAGAACGAGTATGAGAAAGAAAAGAGAAGGGAAAGAGAGAGAGAGAAAGAAAGTTCTCTCCATCTCATCTATCTTACTCTTCAATATGAATCTATATGTATATATATGTAGTTGTTCTCCCGTGTGTCACATTGACAGCGACGAGGTGTAGTAGTGTCATCTAATTTACAAATGAAAAAATAGAAGAAGGAGAAGAAGAAAAAGAACGAAAGTACGAGAGAAACAACATTTTGTTGTTTTCTTACTAGACACGTAGATATATCATTACACTCGACTGTCTTCTCTAGTTGATTATTAGTATAACGAGTGATATGATATAGTTCTAGTTTTTAGATATCGTTAGTTTTGTTTTTATATCTTTGCTGTATCTCTTTATTGTCTGATAAGGTGAGGGCACTAATCGCGATAAACGTATGCCGCAACCATCCGGAAGTACCAATTTTGGTATGATGTCACCTCGTCATGGAGGTGCATCAGCTGTACCACTAAGTCCAACTCGAACAGGAACAAACGAACCGCCATTATCATCTCCTAATACTGGTACTGCTCCTATGGGTTCAAATGTTGGTTCATCAACTAATGAAAATGGAAATCTATTTACTTTAACAAATATTTATACATTTGGTGATAATGGACATTCGAATATAAATCCATCAGCAGATAACTATCGTATAAAATCATTTGTTGAAGTATTTGATCAACCATCAACTCAACAAGAAACTGAATATGAACGACATTATCGTGAAACACATTCATCATCATCTATAACACGAAAAATACATACGAATTCTAGTGATACATATGATTACGATTCATCACGTTTTCATCATCATTTCGACTCAACAAATCCATTATCAACAAAACATATAACAGGTAGTTAATTTTGTAATTAGAAAATCAATATTATTTCTATAGAAAAATACGCAGATACGTGATATTAATGCTTGTGCATGTAATGCTTTGCTTTCTAACCTGCTTGACTGCTGTTCTTATATCAAAGAGAAAAAAAAATTTTTTTTTTTGTTTATTTAACATTTGTCTATATCTTTAAGGATATTTTTCTTTTGATATTATTAATATCATTATTTTTTTTCCTTCGTTGCTCAAGAGGATTAATAATTCAGTTGAAAATATATATAATCAAATTTCAAAATACACAAATGTCTAACAAAAGAAAAATTTCATTATTTAAAAAATAACTAGAGGGTTGAAATAAACGATTTCTGGACTTTGAGTTCTTATCAAAACTTTATATAGAATTTCAATTTTATTGCAAAAATGGCTATTACTTAATTTTATTAATGAATATTTTTGCTAATTCTAATAAATTCGATAATATTGAAAGATGTATTTATTTCATTCAGATCCAACTGCAAATCTAAGTACATCCAATAGTTTATCATCATTACCAACAAATTTTATGGATACTCAACATAATTTACGTCAATGGCTTGAAGGTGTTGAACAATCATTATTAACAGATAAAGTTCGTGTTGTTGATCTACAAGCTATTGGTGCAAAAAAGAAAATTTATAAAGATTTACTTGATCAAACATTAGAACAAGAAATAAGTATGGAACAATTAAATATGACTGCAAGAGATCATTATCCTAAATTAGCTGTTGATACAAGTCGACGTTTACAAGAAGAATTAAAAAATTATCAAGATCGTTTATATGATGTAAAAATGTTTTTAAGTGAACGATTAGCTAAATATAATCGAGTTGATAAAACATTAAGTGATTTCGAAAGAAGTATTGATGAAGTTAAACTTTGGATACGTAATGTTCAACCACGTTTAAATGCAACAGATACTTCTTATTCAGATTCACGTGTACTTGAAAATCAACTTGGTCGTAGTCAGGTAAATATTAAAATTTTTTTGAGAAATCAAAAGTTATTTTCGTTTGTTTTTTGAAGATTCTTCAACATGAAATTCGTGAAATGCAAATAACTATTAATCGTTTAAATAAAGATGTGGTTGATTTAACTCAAGATGCCGATGAAAATTTAGCTCGAAAATTACGTGAAGAAATGAGAGAATTAAACGAAAGTTGGAGTCATATTATAAGTTCAACAAAAGTTAATTCAAAAAATATTCAGGTTAGAAAATATGCATTGATTCTCATAAGAGAGAAAGAAAAACATTGATAATTAGTGATCATAAATCAGTTTGGATATAAGAAGAAACTATCATAGAGATAATTGATGTATATAAGAGAGATTGAATGCTTACTAAAATAGAAAAAAAACGTTATGTTTATGCAGAACTTTAACCTTTAATTAGAGGAAATTTATTCTCTACAAGATTAATATTAACTTAGTTTATCTAACGATCATTTCTATATACTCTTACGCAAGCTGCAAAACTAATCTATACTAGATTTTTTTATTAAATTTAATAGAGAAATCCTTGATTAGAAAAAGAAAGGACATGTCGAAAGCTCAAGTAATAGTTAGATCATATTACATGAGAGTTTATCCAAGTTAAAACAAAAACAAGTGTCAAATGATATCATATTGATTACTAGATCATGCATCACATGTAAACTATCTATCACATAGTACTGAAAGATTTTTATTTTGTAACTAAATACATTAAGATAATTATATTTATATTACGTTTCATTTTCTTAATTATCCACATGCTTGTAAAATCAAATCATTGATCGGAATTTCATTCTAACATCTATAAATAGATAGAATTCTTTATTTTCAGTATAAGATAATATTTACAACTGAAAAAAGGAATGACAAATAAATTTAAATTCTAACTATTCTCTTAGGATGCTTTGAAACGTAATAAAGTTTTACAAGAAGAAATTCAAGAATTAGAAGATTGGATTACGGATAAAGAACGTGAAGCACCCGCTGATGATGGTCCAATATTTTATCAAGATCAACTTCGTGAACGTCTTGATCAATACCAAGTACGAAGGAAAAAGTTTTGGGAAATTTTCTTTTTTCTATTTATATATTATAGAAACTTCAGACTGAACTTAATCTTAAAGAACATACAGTACGAAATTTAGTTCTTCAAGGTCGACAAGATTTAAATAATCCATCTCCATCGGCACCTGAATTAGCTCAAAATTTAGAAACACTTATTTCAAATTATACAAATTTACAAAAAAAAGTCGATACAAAAGTTATGTTCTATACAGATATTCATGAATTACATGAAGACTTAAAAAGTAATTTAAGCAAAAAAACCATCAAATAAAATTCTTCTTTTATTTTCTACTTAAAACAGATTTATTACATCAAGAAAATGTTTGGCTTGATGGTTTACAAAATAAAGTTTTTTCATCATCAAATAATGGTGCTGATGCTGAAGAAATTTCCGAAGAACTTGATGTAAAAAATTTTCCTTTTTATAAAACAAAAAATCTAATTTCTTTTTCTAGACTCTTGAACGTTTTGTTAAAACTCATTCAAAAACAAATTATGAAAAAATGTTTGAAATATCCGATCGTCTTCAAGCAACTAAAGTCTCTATACCAGCAACAAATAGTCAATTAAATCAATTTCGTATACGTTGGGAACAATTACATGATGATGTAAATCTATCAAAATAAATACATACATACATCTATATCTTTTAGGCATTTAAAAAACTTCATACATTAAATTCTCAAATCTCTGATTATCAACATATGGGTCATCAAATAACAGCTATGTTTGAATGGATGAAACATACAGATAACACACTCAATGCAAGATTAAAAGATGATGTTTATGCTGATGATGTACCAGGCGAAGCTGAAGTAATTATATATATTTGTAAATTTATAAAATAAATATTGTCTTTTTGTAGAAATTAATTATTGAATTTAATCAATATGAAGCATTTTTACGTAGTATTGATGATAAAATACATGCATTAAGAAGTACAGCAAAAACTGAAGCTGCAAAACGTCTTGAACAACAATTAGTTTTATTACGAGTAAGCATTATGATATGTCCAAATATTGAATATTTGATTTTTTTTTTGTTTATTAAGAATCAATTTTTACAATTACACATAAAATTCCGACAATTTCAAAAACCTTCCGATTTTGAACCAAAATTTGCTAAAATGCGTCAAATTTTAATTGAAATTGAACATAATGTTCATATACTTGATGTACGTTCCGATGATCCAGATGTTATTCATAATCAATTAGAAAATTGTTTAGTAAGTTAAGAAATTCAATTTTTGAGAAAAACTAATTCAACGTTTTTCATTTTAATAGAAACTTTATAAAACATTATCTGATATTAAATCTGAAGTTGAATATGTTATTCGAACAGGACGTGGTATTGTTGAAAAGAAACAAAGTGATGAACCACATGATTTAACAAGACAGATTGATCAATTGAAAGCTCAATATAATAATCTTGGATCCAAAGTATAATTCGAATTTTTTTGTATTTCTTGTTGAATTATGTTTTGATTTTTATAGGTATCAGGAGCAAAAAATCAATTAGATAGTATTGAACGTCATTTACGAAAATTTCGTAAAGAATATTCTCATATTCATGAATGGTTTGTTAAAGCAGATAATGAAATACGTAAAATTGAAAATAAACAAATATCAAAAAATACGAAAGAAGAAATTGATTGGATACGAGTATGAGATTTTTTTTAAGTTAAATATTTTTCATGTTTTTTTTAATAGGCAACACGAAATGATATTAAAAAACTTGAAGGAAATTTTGAGACATTAAAAAATTTAGAACGTACAATACAAAAAGAAGCTGATCGACCATTAACTAGTCTTCATGATAAAGCAATTGAATTAAAAAGACAAATTGATCAATTAGATCGAAGACTTAAAGATCGATCGGAAATTGTTGAGGTAAATAAATAAATAGTTTTTTTTCTTTTTTATTCTTAGATCATAAATGGAAAGTAAATGTCATCGAGAGAAAGAGAGAGATGATATCCTACATTTTACTATGTAACCTTAGATAATATGATTGGATTAGATTTCTATATAAAGAAATAAAGAATCTCTATGATGCAATCCTACAGTTGTCGTCAATTCGGATAACGCATAATATACATATTGACGTAATCAATACAAGTGCTCGTCCATGTGTAATAGTGTTGAGTTCATAGAAGCATTTGTTTTCTCAACTAAAATCTGTTGATAACATATCAATTATGCAGTTGACCGATTCCTTATTGAAACAATGAACTTAGTATTATATATATTATATACTTGATATGAGACATGTACGGGAAAAGCAAGCATATTGTTACATCAATCAAGAGGTTCTTTTTTTATATTAGCATAACTAGACAGAGAGAAATGTGGAAAGAGGTATCCAATCGATCGTAGTCGATGATTTATTTGTAAGAAAAAGCAAAGACGAGACGACAGCGTGTGCTCGAACATCCGATCAGGATGTATCCTTTACTATAATCAAACGTAGTGCGGAACATAAAGGAAGTTTGTTTGTATGTGTATATACGTGTACGTATGTCACTTATTGACGGTCAAAGAACATAACGGACGTTTATGTTATCTTAAAGATGCCATTGCATTTTCTTTTGTACCATTTCTATATCGCGCGCGCCCATACTTAGTTTTCTCTCTGTTCTTTCTTCTTCCTTCAGAAATATACTCATTCGCCTGTTCTGTTCCTTTTGTACATTTTTTTTCTCGATGACTCCAATCCATTAGTGCCTTTATAGAAAACAAAAAAACCGCAATTGCTCTCTTTTTCTTGTCTACCCCCAAAAATATTACTGTCTGCTGTTCTTTCTGACATATATCTTATGCGCATTTTCTTCCTACGTATTCTGTAATGCATTATTATTATTATTATTATTATTATTATTAATGAAGAGAGCAGGAACTCGAACATATTTTCATAGAGAGAGAATAGTAGT